AATTATATATTATTCTAATATTAAAAAAACCATTCTTAGTGTGTAAAGTGTTGCCTGCCAGTATACAAACATATAAAAACTCCAACAAGCCTTGCAGTTTATACTGGGTTCAGAGGTTCCATCACGAACATTTGCGTGAAGTTGCGAGAACGTATTCCTAACGTCATCTTCGAAAAATGTACTTTATGCCCGTTAGGGCGCTGTACAAATAGAATTAAAATTTTGTCTATGACGTTACGAAGACGTTCTCACGAGTATTCATGATAACCTTCGACATGATGCATAATAATAGCAATCTACTTACGTACAATTCCGCCGATATATCAACATAATGCGTTCCAGTATGTACACATGCTTTCACTATGTATTCGCTTAATATCGTGTTGGGTCCCGTACAATTTATAACAATTCTAGCTTTCCTCGTTACATTGCAAATGCTTTCGTCTTTAACATCGCTTATTATTGTAAGAATTTTCGTAACATCAACATCTAAAAGAATGAAATCAACAAGCAATTTAACTAATTAATTTTAACAACCATAACCAAATATTAATTAAGCAAGTGGTTAACGAATTATCTATCAACAACCCGGCGTTCTTGCGATGAAGGAAATAGTGATGCAACCTGCATTTCATGAACTCAGTTATGTGTGAAGCATTAGACCTAGACTAGCGTGAAATAAAAAAGGCCTTGTGATCCCTATCTTAAAGTAACTAATATACAATTGAATCAGGAGAATTCAAACGACATTGGTAATCTATGGAACTTTGACGTTACTCTTAGTGGATCTAAAACGACAGAAAGTCACGGTAAAACTAACATTATACAATCATATTACTATTACCACATGACTTTAGAAATTACCATTAAAGTTATTTTTAAAGTCATGTGGTCTATAGGTTGCTTCAAACACGTTTTTAACACTAGAAGCGGCACCGTTCCATTTAATCCCACCGGAAGTTTTGTCACTACATATTTATTTATTTTTTACTCAAGACGATGACACCTTTTGGGTTTATTAATTTAATTTATTTATCAAATTCCATAAAATATCCATTCCAAAATATAAACTGTATTAAATTATTTGCAGTATTCTTAATGCGTTTAAGAAATATCTATCAGTACGCACCGTATTCTTCGATCTCTGATAACAGATTGTTCACTTTCTCCTTCGATCTGCCAGATATCCCCCAAGTTATAGTTTTATAAGTATCATGGTTTTTGAACGCTGCCAACTGTTGCACAACATGTTTTCCCGTGAAACCTGTAGCACCAATAACTATGATATCCACATTATCCATTTTATCCAAAATTACATAACTCTAAGATACCGCACAGCTACGCTCTTGATCTCTAAAATCATATAAAACATAAACAAACAGCTTATATAGAATGCTGCAGGTTGTAAAGTTGTTGACCTTCGACGAAAACAAGGGCAAATTATCATTTCTATGTTGTAGGGTTGGCAAACATGACTATTTTTAATCAGTTAAGTACAGCTTTTTTATCATTTACGAAAGATTAATTGCAAACCTAAACCCTTGAGTTATGCATCTTGGCAAATTAAATAACGTTTTAAACAGTTAAATTGATAAACATTTCTTGTGATCAGTAAAATTTTATCTGACAGATAACTTGTTCTAAATAGTCATTTGTAAATAACAGAACAAATTCAACGCACTGCAATTACATACCTTTACTAAATATACACTTAAAATTGATAACACTCGAAATACAAAAGCACAAAAATAAGAAAAAACACCTTTTGTTTTGACAGCCCTAGTTGTTGACTCAATGCCATCGACATAATCTGTTGCAGTTACTCAACTAAATAACTTGCTTCTTTTTTAAGAACTTAAAACCTTAAATATTTCTCAGGTGCATATCCAAGGAGCTATAAAAAAACGCTTGTACACGTCCTTAGCTTGTGCTGGGGAAGAGACGCTTCACCAAATCACGTTCAAGGCGACCCGAAACACCAAGTGCACCCCAAATCGCCCCTTACAAACAGTTTAATAATTTCGCCTACTCTGAGTTGAGAACTGCTTTGGATAAATTAATACAAATGAATTCGTAAATACTTACTTCTAAAACTTCACAAAATCACATCCAATTATGTAGGTACATAGCGCATTAATTACCAAACCACTTACACTATTTTAATCACTTTTTAAATAATTCTAATCAATGGGTATGAAGTGACACAATGAAAGAAGTCTCCCCTTTATGAGGACGACTGTTGTCCACTTGAAACAACGAGTAAATACAAAATACGTCTTAATAAACCGTTTTCTACTTCGATATTCATGTTTTGTTCTACAAACACGCGTGCACTGCATGTTTATGTGTCCCTCGCAGTGCATTGTACTTATAACTACCTACATATACAACTCATTTTTCTACTACATTAATTACTAATTATTAATACATGTTATAAATGCGAAAGTTTAGATGGTTGGATGGATACATGTTTGTTACAGTTTGTTGCCTAAACGGCCGAACGGATCTCGATGAAATTTGGCATAGACGTAGAGGATAGTCTGGAAGAACACATAGACTACTTACTGACTTTAGTTTTTTTTTATTCTACATGGGCGGAGTCACAGGCGAAAGCTAGTGTTCAATATTTGTGTTAAATGCCCCGAGATACCCTTTTGTCCTCTTAACTCTTTTATTGTTTTAAAACAAAGTAATACATACACCTCTGTGTCAGTACATGTTCACATTATTATTAATTTTGTTTAAATGTTTACGCATTGTTAATAAAGTTTTAGTATCGTTGTTATTCGACATCTAAGGATGTCCTTCATACCTGTTATGAGAAAATCATGCCCATTGTTTGTTAATCTTTGGATGTTAAACAATTTTTTTTCTAAGGTTATACAGACTTTTTCTCTAACGTATATTCAACCATTTATTTTCAATAACAGATATAACGTTGTTTTAATATTTAAACCTTTATCAAATGTCTGAGTGCATTTAGTATAGATGTTTTTTTTATTAAAACATCACATTGCATCATTCAAGTGTTTATTTGCTTATTAAGATTTATAAAAATAAAATTGCATGAAGTTATGAATTAGGTAATAGACAGAAAATATGAATTCATATCTGCGCTAATCTGTAGCGATAGAATATTATAATGTAATACACAAGCTGAAAATTTATATCTAGTCAAACATCGTGCTTTTATAGACGCTTATTAATCTCGAATAACATAGCGCTTACTAATTTGAATATGGATCAAATATATGAACATTTGAATTCAACTCACATATGTGCCTACCGAGGGGTAAATATACCTTAAGCCTACCAAATACTAGACTTTTAAACACTGGATAGTTTACTTGGGCGTTAAATCGTGTGTAGCAGCATACATCGATTTGTTTTAAATAATTTTGTCTTGACAGCCAGACCCCGATCAAACTATCGGCGTTAAAGTCTAGTCTGTGGGGCCCTTAGTCAGTGTTCCTTTTCACTCTTATTTACATAGACTTTACATGTAATGTGTAATTGTGAAACACAAAGCCGAATTTTTAGTATACAATATATAACTCAAATGTAACCCTGTATCAATGCATGAATAATACAATACTTATAAATGTAAGAAGCTACAGAAAATACAATATTTGATAACAATTAAATTATGAATTAATCCGTCAAGTTGAAAAAATTATTCATACGAGATATCACTGCCCGTGCGTCGATTTAGATAGAAAAGTACATCAAATAATTAAACGGCTCGGAACATCTCACGAATTAATGCGCAGAACAGGATTTTAGGTACTGCGGGGTATAAAGAGACGCGGGGCGTGGCATCTGTCAGTGACCTTGAGCCACAAATTTTGAGTCGGGTCATTACCTGGGTTCTTCGTATTAGTACTCAAAATATAAATTAAAATACAAAATAAGTTTTCTATAAAAAAGACCATAAATATTGTTAAAAACATCCGTGATTAAATATTTGCTGTTTGAAATAAAATCGAAACATTGTAAAAAATCGTTTACATCCTTGGTTTACAATAGGTATCAATTTGGTACTTCGAATGTGCACTTGTAAAGGTAATTTTTTTTTTATTTAGACGGATGTAACATTACAATTATAATTTTTAACATATCAACATAATATTATAGTAAATAATCTTTTGTTTTATGTAAGAATCAAATAAAATAGGGTCTCCAAACTTACAAAGTCACAACAAGACTTTTTTAAATGCTTTTTCAAACTTATTAATTTCTGGCAACACTCAAAGAATCAAAGACAAAATAAAAATTATATTTATTTATGAGATGTGTTATGTATTTCTAATAATGCAATTTGAATTCTATAAAATTAGGATACATAATTATATTTGAAATAGTAAAGAAAATCGTAAGATCTAGTATAATGTGGGTTCCATTATTTTAGCCAACCATCTTTAATATCACTCGGCAGGCTTGGAGACCCTTAGTCTACAAGATCATAAATTTGTGAATCAAGAAAACATGACATAATCCTTTTAGCCTTCTTGACCAAAATCTTCCATGAACTTCTTGAGTTTGATCATGTCATCATCATTGACAGTTGGCTTAGACGTAGCTAGAGATCTCAACATATCTGACATTGTCACTGGCGGTTCACCCAACTTGTCACTCGGTACATCCATCCATGTCATCTCCATAGCCCCTGGATCACCAGGAGAACACGGAGTCAACAAATCATGAACAGTCAATTTAGGATCAGTCGGGCTTGGTCCCGAAATTTTCTTAAAGTGAGTGGCCGATTGGACCTTACGTACCGGTTGCATCAAAGCATCACGAACAACAATACTAATATCAGCTCCTGAATAACCATCCGTCTTTGTAGCTAGAACCTTCATATCTTGCTCGGTCAGTTGATGTCTTGTGTTTCCTAGATGCAATTTAAACATATCCAAACGAGCATGTTCTTCAGGTAGAGCGATGTAAATACGCTTCTCAAAACGCCTTCTAATAGCAGCATCAAGAACCCAAGGTATATTTGTAGCCCCAAGTACCAGTATACCATCCATATCATTTCCCACACCTTGCATTTGAACAAGAAATTCTGTCTTGATCCTCCTGGCTGATTCAGACTCATTATCGGAACGAGAAGAACAAAGAGAATCTATTTCATCAATAAATATTATACTTGGTTTATGTTGACGAGCAAGTTCAAATAAATTCTTCACTAATTTTTCTGATTCACCGAGCCATTTAGAAACAAGATCGGATGATGAAACAGAGAAGAATGTAGAGTTGTTTGCTTCAGTAGCAACTGCTTTTGCTAAATACGATTTACCAGTACCAGGTGGACCGAATAATAAAATACCTTTCCAAGGTATCCTTTTGCCTGTGAATAAGTGAGGAAACTTAATAGGAAGGATAACAGCTTCTTTTAATGCTTCCTTTGCTCCTTCTAAGCCAGCAACATCACTCCATTTTACATGTGGCTTTTCAACAACTATGGCACCTTCTAGTTTACCTTGCAGTTTCTTCTTTTCTGGATCATCAGAGTCACTATCACTATCACTCTTTTTATCTTCACTCTTTGACTCTCCATCTTTAACTGGCTTCTTCTTTCGATCCTTCTTAAGGTATTCTTTCAACTTCTCAGCTCTATCTAGATATTGTAGACATTTTGCTCGAATACTCTCCTTAGCTTTTTCACCTTGTGCTTCATATTTGACAGCATGAAGGAAATATTCTACCCCATGTTCATAAAGTCTTAATGCTTCCTCATAATTTTTATTCTTATCTTCTTCTGTAGCCTTAGTAACCAGGTCAATCGCTTTTTGTAATGTATTAGATGATGCCATTGTTCAGCTTCAGATATACTCTGAAAATTAATAGATAATTCATATAAAATACAAGATGTAAGTAATATAATATAGTGATTTCATTATGTAATGTGAACATATTACGAAATGTTTGGGGTTTCATGTTAACAGAAAAATGTTAACTTGGTTTTCTGTTGCTAGGAGCTGTGATTAGTCTTAAGAATTCAAAGTTATGCAGTTAATTGTAATCCAATGTTATTTCAAAATATGGCGTCTCAGTCACTTTTCTGAGTTTTAAGTTTAGCAAGACACTACATAAATTTGCCAGTTAAAAATTAGTGTAATGTATATCACATCACTTTCATTTCTTACAGATGAATATTGAAACAGCATTTAAATATATAACACATCCACTTGCCCTTATCCCTTATGGAGGGTCGGCACAGTATGTGCTGCTCTTCCATACATCTCTATCAGCCGTCATATCTGAATCCACTCCTTTCTTAAGCATATCTTCTTTCACACAATCCATCCATACTTTCTTCGGTCTTCCTCTTCCTTTGTAGCCATCCACATTCAATCTCAAAACTTTCTGGTTTATGTCCCCATCATTTTGTCGCATAATATGTCCATACCACGCTAACCTTTTGCTTCTCAATTTCTCCACCGCTGGCGCTACTTTCAAACTTCCTCTAATGTACACATTCTTAACTTTATCCAATCTTGTCACACCACACATCCATCTTAACATACGCATCTCAGCCACATGCATTTAAATATATAACAGGGTCTTAATTATAATGCTACATTTAAACTCCAAATGCCTTACAAGTTTTGACAACTATCAAATTGTAACCAGCGCTTATGAAGCGCTGTTTAAGTTTTTTTTAGTGTTTGGTCAATGGCAACTTACATAAGGGTTACAAAATATTTTTTAATCAATGATAAAGCATTATCTCTTGTGTACATTCTGAATTTATACTAGTGTAACTAGTATGTTGTCATATTGTATTTTGTCTCGATATTCTGATTCTACCATTTGTGATGCCAAGTCTGGCAATAAGTATTTATCCCCTTATTTGGATTTATTTAGTTGTCAAGTGTAATTTCTTTGTGTCCTTGTCTGAGAATATGCTTCACTTTCCGTTTCTAAACTATACAAGGCTATTTTACATATTATGGCCTACAAACAAAATCTGTATAGCTCTTCGTAAGTCGAACACAAGTATAATGAGGAAAATGACTCATTGAAATGTATACCGAAATTCACGGAATTAACGATTTTCTTTGACTTCGTACCAATAAGGTTTCCTACAGTGTAATTGACCGGTCATTTCATAAAATTGGCCAAATTAAGAAAGCAATTAAACAAACGATAACTTCTGAGCTCAGGGAGCGAGCGATGACATATTTACACCACTACGTCATAGCTTACAATAACTTGAATCTGTAACTTACCAATTAGGTGATTCTAACCACTATCTTTGCGTTACACAAAAATGCAGTTTACAAATAACTTTTACTTTCCATAACAATTTTATTACGATTTCAACGAATTCTATGATTGTTTGCTTGTGTCTCTTCTGTCATAAGTTACATTAATTATTGCCATCTACAAATTTTAAATTTGACATTTTACATAATGTGTTACAAAAATAAATTCCATTATTTCCAAAACGGATTTCCTACATAATTATTGTTTAAACACGATTAATCACAAAAAAATGCATTATATCAGTGACTGAGTTTGAAGTAAAGTTACATCGAAGCTCTGATTCGCATAAAAAATTAAAATGAACATTATTTACATCTGATTCTCATCATTTAAAAAACGCGAGAATCGCTCATAGCATTTTTTTATTCACAAATCTAACATAATTTATCAATTAATATAACATTACATAGATTAATCTTACACATTAAAGGTGTAAAGGTTTATGAAGTAATTTCCATGGTGTTATGCAGACATCATCATCCACTTGCCCTTATCCCTTACGGAGGGTCGGCACAGTATGTGCTGCTCTTCCATACTTCTCTATCAGCCGTCATATCTGAATCCACTCCTTAAAACAACATTAAGACATTAACCAATAAATAAAAAACTCAAAATAATGGCAATGTTCTTAAATACAACTTTATTGTCCATAACATTTTGCAACAATGAAACAAGTATATAATTTGTACAACATTAAATTAAAATAATGAAACAGATTTATTATTTAACCATAGTTATTTGCATTTCAGATAATTTATTAAATTAATGTGTCTTATTCTAATGTTGTTTTATATAACTTAAATTTGCCTACAAACTTTTTTACTGCTTCTTTAGGATAAGGTTTAAGAGCTAAACATGTAGGAATATTTTCTGGCTGTTCAATCCACAATTTATGATCTATAGAATTTTCTTTTAATTTATTTGATATTTTTTTTAATGATTCTTCATCAGGAACCTGAAAATTAATAAGACATTATATAAATAAACTTGATACCACTACATATAATCACAAGATTTGATTTACATCTCTGATATAGAAATTAAATCCTATTAATTTCTACCATACAGCTATTAACAGTTTATAGTATTGGGCTTTGATACTCACTTCTAGTACAACTTTATGCATATTATCTAGATCATTCAAATATTGTACAGTGCATTCATCATCTTTGAATAAATGTAACACTGCAGAGGAAGCATGGCATGCTTGAGCAACTAATGATCCTATCGACCAACCTAAATCTTTTAATAAATCGCTCCGGAGCAAAACATACTGTACAATAGTAGTTGACATTTTGTCAGTAATTATAAGTAGCAGTCGTTTAATATTTATTAAAGTTAGGATTCATCGAATCAAACGTAAACATAGGAAAAAGTGTCATAATATGTCAAATGTCAATGTTACAGCGATTGACGTTCGAAACATTTCTGTTGCACGCATAAAAAGATACTTTTGAACAATATTAGATTTATTTCTCTTTTAATTGCAAGATTAAACTTTTTTAAAATTGTCTTCTTAGTCGTTAAATATTTATGATTTTCAATTTTAAAACATTTTTTTACATAGTGGCTTTTTGTTTTTAATCTTTGCGCACCAGACTGCATTTGCTGACTTTGACAGTTTTGATTTTTGACAAAACATTGTTTGTAAAAATTGCCGCTAAAACTCTGGGAAATAATACCAATGAAATAAAATAAACAATCCACGATCAGTGATTTAAAAAGATAACATGGCATCAGGATTAGAAAGCTATATTAATCAGACTGTATCGGTGATAACCTCCGACGGACGTAATTTCATTGGCACATTGAAGGGTTTTGATCAGACGATAAACATTATTTTGGACGAGTCCCATGAGAGAGTGTTTTCCTCATCGACAGGTGTAGCTCAAGTGGTTCTTGGCCTTCACATAATACGAGGCGATAATGTAGCTATCGTCGGACAAATAGATGAATCAATAGATAGTCGACTGGATCTTGGGAACATCAAAGCAGAACCATTAGGAGCTATTGTGCACTAACGTAACTAGAATTAAGATGTCAATAAAGTAAGTTATTTTATTTATGAGTTTCATTTGAAGTTACTTTTCAAGTTAACTGCAATATATAAGAAATAAACTATTGGATTACTCTCCAAGTTATTGTAAATATATAGAACACGAAATATAAATTAAGTGTAAAAATATTATTTTGGGGTAATTGTGGAATAAATCTAAACATAAATTTTCTTCTCTATTTATTATTAACAAGTATCTTTGCTAGGATTCTACTATACACATACCTACACAACATGCAGGAGTAACAAATGTACAAATGGCTCCCTACATATCTAGTATATGTAGCATAATAGTAAATAACCCATAATAAATGATAAAATTTTCATTAAATTATTGTTTACAATATTGTAAAAGGAGTAGATGGCATAAATACAATGAAATATAAATAAAACATATTAATTGAAAATCTGGAATACTGAACGACATTTAAATATACAGCAACCTATATGATAGAGGCCAAGGTTAAAGTCCAAATTCCAGTTATATTATGACATCTGTCAGATTATAAACAAAGCAAATCTTATTGTTTCAGTATCCAACTGTATTTTATTTCAATAACCATTCACCATACTTAATCCATACAAACTTTAGAACCTGTTTTATGACTTGTTTAGACACATACAAACACCTTAATAACATCCAAACCAAACAATCCTCGGTAAATATAATGAAAATGGTTCAGACGGTCATTCTCAGATTGTCTGAACATTTTAAAATTAAAATCACATTATTCATGTAAAATGGTAACATGTCTTAAAAATAATTATTTTAGTATCACATTTTAATAACATTTCTATGTAATTGTCAATTTGAAAAAAAAAAGGAAAAATTTAAATGTCGGCCATTTGAAACATTTTCCTTTGTTCTCATTTTGGCTACAGTTTTGGCGTTAGCTGGTCATCTTTTAGTCGGTTTTCTTGATTTTAAGAATAATCATTGTTTTTATGATTCCCAATTATAACAATGTCTTGATGTCTGTAAAGAAAAAAAGTTTTAAAGTTTAAAATATGTTAAAAAGCTAAGCATATTGTCCACAAAATATGATTTACATCAAAATTGAATTACAAAACTATGTATGATGTAGAAAGTAACATTATTTATGTAGATTAAATGGTTTAAAATAGATGTAATAAAAATTTAACACAGTGTGAGTCTTTTTGTCCATACAACAAAAATATATTTTTTTTTAAATCAAAAAACCTAAGATTTCAATTTACTAATAATTCAATGAACAAACTCAACTTTCCTTAAACAGTTTGTTACTACATTACATGTTTAGGATATATTTTTTTTAGAAAATAGAGGCATGCAAACTACACTATTTGGATTAACATAGTTTTTACAAGAGGTTATAATACCATTTTAATATCCAATTAAAACAATAACACTACAAGTGCGGTCAATTTCATGCTAGTCACTTTTTAGTATTGTAACTTCAATCCCTTTTCTGAAATGGAAATTAATAAAACATATATGCAAAAACAAATAAAAATTAAAAAAACAAGCAAAACACAAACAGAAACGTAAATTTTCACCATATGACATGCAAACATACCATCAATTACGCAATTACTTACATTAAATGTATTTACCTTTGTAATTTTTCTTTATATTTCTGTGTGTTGTATTTTTGGAAGAATTGTTTCCCATATTCAAATGTTGCAATCATAATGGCACATGCAGGGGCCACTTTGAATATCCGAGGCAACAAGCCCGTGAACAAGCCTTTAAAGCCATGGTTATTGTAGATAGTCCTAACAATATTCTGCATATTCGAAGCTCTCTGTTGTATTTTTCCATCTGTTATAACAGTTAGAAAATAAGTTTACATAATAATAAGTGATTAAAGCTTAACAAAGATAAAAATAGTTTAGACGAGTTTATTTCTAATTTTTATTGAATTTGGCTATGAATTAAACAGTTATATACTCTAACAAAAAGTCTATGTAGCTGAATAAAAATAAAAAAATCATCATTTAATCCTAAACCGAGCAAGGGTTTGCACACTTATTAGTTCCATAATTTTCTTAACATGATGATGGTTTTTATACTTTTGGTCTGACAGTAAGTAATGTATTTCACACAAGATGTTATTGAATAGATTCTCACCTGTGTAAATTTCCTTTTCTCCGAGTTCTATTTGTTGATGTGTTTTGACCACATCAAAAGGTAGTGTAATGAATGCTGCAATCTAAAAGTAAACATAGTTAACATTTATTCAAGTCCGAAAGTGATGAACATAAACTATTCTGGGTATTTTTTATGAATGGTTTAATGACCATTGTATTACTTTTTTTGTTTTTTATTTGTAGAGTGGTAAAGTAAAAAGTTCACTTACGCTGCCTGCTACTGAACCACAGAAGAAGTTAAAAAGAAAGGAATTCTTCTCTGAATCTGGCTTATTAAATATTCGTTTAGTTGTTTCAAATGTTGTCCAATATATGCCTGAAACGAGAAATAATAAATTAGAGATAAGACCTTAAAATTATAATGTAAAAATTGGGGATAACTTAGTCATACAGCACTTCAGTACCTGAAAATGGCACATCCCTAAGTAATGTAGAACCTAAACCACGAAATAGTCCCTTGTAACCCTCATACTTAACAACTTGACGTAAAGCTGTGGTGATTTCTGAAAACAAAAATGCCAAAATTCACAACTGAACAATGAAGTTTCCTGAAGCAATAAAATTAAAACAATATTACCTGAATATGTTAACTTTTTTGATTGCATTTTAGTTCTAATAAGTTCTAAAGGACTAAATGTTGTGACAGCTATAGTCCTAGCTGTGGCACCAGCAAATAACGGTATCCACATTGGTTGATGAACTGAAAATTAAAATACATATAGGAAATTTATACATACAGCTAAAGTATGTAACATTAAAAAAATAACTTACCCGTGTCTGTCCATTTATTGTATAAAGTTTTAGTTTTAAACCGAAGCTGTTCATAGCTCACAAAATATACTACTGTACATGGTAATGCCAGTACGAGGGTTGGGCTTAAACCTGACCATAATGCTGGGACACCTTCCAATTTAGCTATCTTGTAGAATGCATCCTATGAAAACAGTAATACAATGTTATTTTAGGAAACTATTGTAAAATAATAACTATCTATATTCATATTGTAAAGAGGGAAGGTTTGTATCTTAGTATATTTTAATTTACATAAAAACTCCTTTTAGGACATTTTTAAAATTTTTTCACCATTAGAAAGTTAAGTTATCTGTGTGTAACCTATGTTTTTTTTAAAATGTCACATGAACAAATTCCCGAGATATGGCTAGTCTTAAATAAAACATTTCTGGAAATAGTGTTATGCATCCATTGGTTAATTTACCTATTTTGTGTAAACTTGTTTTTTATTTATCTAATTGTTAATTAAATTAGCTGTATACTTATCAAATTACATAATTTAGATTTTTGGAAGCAAAAGAAACAATATCCATCCTACTATAATTGACAGTAGAAAGTTTTTGTTAAGCCTATTCTAAACAAAAATAAGTGCAAATACAGTTTAAATAGACACAATTTTAATATGAAATAAAAATTTAACAAAACAAAACTTTCAACTTTAATATCATAAATTATGATGCATCAAACATCTTTCTAATGTCACATTCAAATTTTATATCTGTATAGCAGTAATCAAATGTAATTAGTATTTATTATATTAATTTAAGAAACACAAACCAATATGTAAATGGCAAAATTTTGGCTCATAACAGTGTACATAGGAGCCATTAATTTGGAACAAAAATGAAGCTATTAAAAGTAAATTATACTAATTGAGAGTATTTCATACTTAAAATACTTAAAATCTAATGTGTATAGTAATATTTAAGTTCTATAGCTATACTTAGGTTAGGTGGAGTCGTGGTCAAGCGCTGGTTTATTTATGTTAAAAAAAATACTAATAAAACAGTACAAATAAGGACTTACAAATGTACCATGAAAATGTACTCGTCTAGGTATCCATGCTGTTTCACCACATGGACAGAGATGTTCCATCAATCCATTGCAATACAAATAACATTTATTTGATAATAATGCCTTCTGCTGCGCTTGCAGCCTTATTTTAACAACATCCAATGGTGTCACTGAAAAGGGACAAATATTAAAATAGATATAGAAAAATATAATACTATCCTATATGTTGGCAGGGATTTGAGTTAGGTGTACAGTAAATGAAAAAAAAAATACTAAACCACAGACACTTCATTTTAAGAACCAATTGCTCTATAGATATTTTTCATATCTATTAGAATACATAGTGAGTATTATGTATTAATTTTTTAAACATTTACGTATTTCTCTTTGTAAATAGGTAGTGCGTTTTTCATGTGTGGTAAACTTAACATTTAAATTGTAAATATATGTAAATTCATACATTACGTTTTTTTATCAAGGTAAAAGAAAAAAACAGTCATATATGTTGTGAAGTATTGTAAGTATTGTGTAAGTAACCTATAAAATAACGTTATTAAAACAATTTAAAAAATCAGCACAAACACTCACTGAACAATGAAGTTATCAAGGCACCAGAACAAGCTGATGCCATTTGTTGTACTGGTGTGATACGAAATTGTGGGTCATCTTCTCGTATCATCGTATTGACACTTTATTTCCTGTATTTACACGAATTTAGTACAAATATTTAATTACATTTAGATTCACGGAAGTCATATGTTTTCCATTTCATAAACTTGACATTTGGCAGGTGGCAGAGTAAAAAAAATAATTTGAGATGTCAAAAACTTCTATAGATTATATCAGGGGAGTCACCAACATCTGTGATTAGGTTAGGCTAAGAGACAAGATATTTTGTGCCGTTTTCATGTTTGCCATTTTGGCGCTGATTGTAGCGGTTGGGAGCAGTGATAGAAACTCGAACTAATAAAAGAGATTTAATTTGCCGCCAGTAACTTCGACTGGCACTTTCAAGTTGAAGTGAAGCAAAACCTGCCATTTCCAAGCAGCGACCTAACTAGCGCATTTCCATGAATGTCAGTAAATACCAGTGCACTTAAGTATTATCCATGGATCAGTGAGTCTGTGGCTGAATGTGCAAATGCGAAAGACAGAAAGCAGAATTCAGAAACAGTCAGAAACGGAACGGAATCCGAAATCTACACGCATAGCCCCACATGGAGGGCGTTAACAATATAATTTAAAATAACCACAGTACTCGGAGAGTGAAACATAGAATTTGAGTGAATTGCATTATAGTATATGAAATATATTTTTTAAAATGTTTTCCTGTGTTCCCAGGTCATTGAAGTAAGTACCTTTTCGTTTATTTTTGGAGTTTACATAACGTGACACCTGTGTTTTATTACAATTGTATACAAATTAAAAACTATTACATTCATGAATGATGAATATTTAACAATCAATTTGTATTGGCTGAATAAGGGATTTAGTAACATTTAGTAAAGTTGAATGTTTTATTAAACCACGCGTAAATCACATATTGCTACGGTACTTTTTGTAATCGCAATGGCATGGTTTCTAGGAAATATTTTCGCGTACTGTGATTCGTTTCAAGGTCTCAACTTAGTGTTAATGTCGTCTCTCTTTCAGAATTCCCAAATATTTCCTCGATGTTTAGTCCGCCTCTTATTGATCTTTTCGATCGTTACTTCCACGTAACTGTTCAAATATAAGCGGAGTTAAAACGTTTTGTTTTGAATGAAAATAGCACTTACGCCAGCAATTAATTTAAGAAACCTATTATAGCAATGTAGAAGTGTCGTGTATTATGTTTTTTCTTTCTGTAAAATCTAGATGAATGTTATACACTTAATTTCATTATCTTATGTAAAAGAAAAGGTGATACAGTTATCGTTGATGCGAGCAGCTCAATATATCGCAAGATAAACATTGTTAACCCAGCATCTAAAATGTCTGATTCTTATAGAAACACAGTATTTATACATCTATGGGTCATTGGCAACCCATGGTAACCCAGATCATAGGCTTGAGCTTCATTCATCAATTTTCACTTCACTAAAACCTCAGTAGAAATAAACAATTGTACAAATAAGAGATCACTAACCCTTGGATTTTCCACAGATCATGTCATGTTATATTATTTTTGTAATTTAAACTTTTTTGTATATCACTCTTGTTTTTTGTTGTGTTGGTACATTATGTATTCCTACAGCTAAAGAAAAAAACTGTAATTTAAAAATAGCTATTGAAATTGCAATACAAATAAAGACAATATTAAATGTTTATGTTTTATTACAAAGTCAATTTTTTGCTATGTTGTTTTTAAAGTTGAATAAACTCAGCAATAACATTTTTCTTGTATCTCACTAAAGTTTTTATAACTATATATATGTATGTTGTTACTGTAGTGTTATTATAAAGTTGGCACTACTTGCTGTAAGCTAAAAATATATTCAGTGACATTGTAACTAGTTTTCATACAGTCTACATTGTTATTGTCTAATCATAATATCAGTAGGTATTTTGCATTAACTGATATCAAACAAAATTTTGTATAGTTTACATAAAAGGAAGCCTTTCCATTGCAAGGAAGGGACCTTTAAATATCAAATGGTCAATGATACTGGCAGTACTTTGGTTACAGAAATATTTGGTATTCTTATATTCAGAGTTTATCTCAACTGTCTCAAAATGGTTATCTATTTTTCTACAATTCATAAATAAGTCTTGTGTGATGCTTTGATTATGTCCCCTCCCTTCACATTTTATGTTGGGTTGCTGATGTTTCCATCCATTTTATCATTACCTAGTGATTCTTTAGTTGATCTAATTTTCAATAGAGTAAGAGTCAAACTATGTTGTTCGAAATTGCTTAAATGAAGTTTTTGAACCAAAAACAGTATTGAATTGTTAAATGCAGCTTGGAAACCAAACATTAGTCCTATAGGACTACCTAAAGGTTCACTGAAGTGAACCTTTAATTTTATAGATTATGCTACGTTTGTTACGATTTATCTTAAGAGAGAGTTAATTACACTTACAACATAATATTATGTACTTGCTATATGTCTATCTAGTTTCTTTATTTATGCAATTTGGTAGAATAGAGATTGAAAGTACACTCGCAAATTTATTCTGTCTCAGAGTTTACATTGCAACACGAAAGCATTTTGTAAATGGTGTTAACTGAAATATTTTTGATAATTTACGAACGTACGTAATCTTTAATTATGTCGAGCTGTATTCGTTATGTGCGCCTCTGTTTCTTCACGCGCAGCCTATCTTGGTATTGATCGTTTTATCAGATACGTATACTACAAATAAGGTACAATATATAATTATAATGCATTTAAATTTAACAAGCTTATTAAACCCTCTATTCACTCTTTTATGATTTTTTTCTTTTTTTATATTATGAGGTGGCAAACGAGCAAGCGACCACCTGAATCCGCCGAAATGCCGTAGCGACCGCTGCCCTTAGACATCCGCAATTGCAAACGAGTTGCCTACCCTAATCGAGACGGAAGTAGAGACACACACAAAAAGGAAATTTTCCCTCAAAATTTACTTTTTCTTCCCATCCTTTTCTAAAAAGAAAAAGGTGGAAAGGGAAAAGGACTACAATTCATGATCTTATTGGGTAAAAGTCTGGCAACACCCCTACAAATTTAACATTGTGCGCTTACTTTACTATTACAGTACTCTACATTAAAATACACAATACTGTATGTATGTTAATTTTTATAACATGATTCGCACACGTAATAAGATACGTAAAATCTGTTGTGAAAAAAGTATCTGAAAATGTTAAAACAGTTGTAACTGTATATTGACTCAATAATTGGAATCAAAATCGAGGTCAGTGACCGTTGTGCCTTGTTATGATTACTGGGCGTAAATTTTATAACATTGTTTGTGATTTGGAAAGCAGATTTTTTCAGTTTAAAATTACGTTTTCTTTGTATGCTAACTCTTTAAAGTACGAAAAGCAATTGGGTCTCTGTCCTGCAGAAAATTAAAAAAAAGAAAAATATTTCACATTGAAGTTAATCTTGTTCAGTATGCATTTATACATCAAGAATTCCTTAAGATATAAAAAATATTACGGCAGTGAAGTGAGCATATGTAAGTGGTTTGGTTTGATCGTGTTGCGGTTTTCCGTCACCTTGAAACTGGCTTTCCCTGTATCTTATCACTCAAAAGTCACTTCGGAAACAAATAGGTAATTGTATTTGCAATACAATACATGATAAAATTGTTGGAAATGTATCTCTTACGTTTTATGATACCAGTTTTTCTTATTTTATTACAAATGTTCGTGTTAAATCTTAAGGAAATCGTCTCATTATAGAATTTACGACAGAATGTCGGTGACGTTTCCTTTTCCCTTTCGTCGGTTTATACATTTCTTGCAAACTCATATTTATAGTAAAGATTAGTTTTTGTTCACCACTCCGTTCGTGCGGATTAAAAAATTAGAAAAGTCATGGTAAGTAGGCTTATATCTTCCAGGCTGTCCTACTTTTGTGCTGAAATTTCATCGTGATTCGTTAAGAAATTTTTGGAGATAAGCAGTAACGAACATTTTTCTATCCAAGCTTTCGCAATTATAATGAAATACGCAATTTTCAAAATTGGGACTGTAAATAAGGTTATATAATATGTTAAAAACTGTAATACGTGCAAATGTGATAAATTCATAATTTGAACCTGTCATCAATTGTGCCACGTACTTGTTAATCATATGGCAAAATTATTTCGCGAGTAACCTACGTAATACAGCTATGGGCGTGTTACCTCGACGTAATGTAACAGGAAATTTTAATTGTACCTAATAATTTTGTATATCTGTAATTTACTGCAACATATACTATTAACCTTGTTGGAACAGTGTGAATATTACAGATCTAATGGAAAATAAGACAGAGTTTACGTTAAGAGCGGGCGCACACTTTTGACAAAACTATCTCACAACTGTTGTCGATTGTTTCGCAGCCAAGTCAACTGTTTAGTTGCACAACTAAAAATCGAGTGTACGCACCTCCATATAAGCTTATAGGAATCAAAGCGCGAGTGAAAAGTTGTTCGATAGTTAAAGATGTGCGGGCGATCTAAGTTTACGTCAATAATCATACGTCCGATGTTTTTAAAATGATACATCGGTTTTAAGAAGCTAGAAAGTTGCTGTTTAATTTATCTGAAGTTGTAAATGATAATTAATTCTACTTATTTTTTTTGATGTATCTATGACAAGTGATTATACGATGAAATCGTGACAACTCGATATGTATCTAATAGGATATACATATAGTTCATTATTCTACCACCAAGACTGTCACTAAAGCGCACAAATATAACTAGTGGTTGTAGAGTTTATCTGCGTAGATTTTCTATGAGAATTCTAAACTAAGCGACTGTTTATTCCTGGCTCTGAGTTCAGTAAACAACTATTGATTTTGGTTTTAGTGTGCATTCTTGACTGTAACGAAAATATTTCATGTAAAAGTTAACTCGAAGTCTGTTCGCAACAGTAAACTCTTGTTTGAGTAAGTCGACATTGAACGACGTCCTCGGGTATTGATTTCCATTGTTAATGACGTACTTAACGTTTCCAGTAGAATTGGTATGAGGTTTTACATGTGACAATGCCAGTGAACGACTGAAGAGAGGATTATTTCGACGTCAAGACTTTTCACATATCGAAGTAGAATATGATATACATGTAGATAAAAATTAGATACACGAGAAAAAAATATTTTGCTAAGATGCTTGTAGACCAATTAAATATTTTTTATGTCCGAAGTTATTTTATAAAGCAGTATTTTTATGGCTAATAAAAGTTACTGCATAAGCGATTAAAAAAATTATTACAATTTTCTTGTTAGCGGATCTGATAACGATTTTCTTCAAAAATATTTCTTTGCGAAATGCAAAAACTGCCAGATTCATTTTACCAAGCAAGATATTTCTAAAGTACGTTTTAAAAATTTACGTTGTTGGGGTAACGTAAATATTGACAGTACGTCTATGATTTTAAAATTCTGATTATAAGAACATATTTACACAGTACATTGATATTTCTAACTTTTACAGCCTTAACATATCTCTAACATTTACGTAATTCACGTGCCCCTTATCTGTTTTATATTTAGATGTTATCAAGGGTTTTACCATCACTTATTTTGATACACATATAAACATAATTATAATTACTTAATTAAAACAGACAAAACGACTTAACAACACGCGTAAATTGAAACCAAATGTTTCGTAAACTTGCAACTTTGCAATTTATTAATAGACAAACAATAGTGACATTTCTTTTTACGGAGAAGCAAAAGTAAACATTACTTAAATTTTGTGTAATTGCATTAGAATTTAAAAATGCGACAATGTGATTACAATATGATAATACTCTAAACTAAACATTATAAAGAGGAATGATTTTTATTTTTGTAACTTACGCTGAGTCACATAGACTATAATTTTAAATTTTTCGTCGACGAAATCGCAAGCAATAGCTAGTCATTCATAAATACATTCATGTTTTCTCTAGCTAAACATTTCTGCTGGCTATTATACGATTATAAGGACGACTAAAGTCCTTTTCATCTTTCTGTCTACTCTGAATACATTTTCATAATTAAACATAAAAGCAACAATGTTACATTTAGCCCCCTTCATATTCACTCGGCCATGGATTATGGCTGATGCAATGGAAAGGAAAAAGTTATTTACTTTGCTAAACAACACATTAATAATAGACGATAGAACAAACGTGACTTTGAACGCCTTGATCTTGGTCTTCATTGCAGCCTTTGTCGTATTTATATGAACGACGTCATACACGACACGTCAGAAATGATGAAGTCCGTTAAGTTTCAAGTATAGATATAGTTAACTTACGGCATTGGAAAAGTATTTATAAAAACTCTATATGTTAGGGAATGGTTATACGCAAGTAATATGAACATACAACGTTCGAAAACGTCTTACCATTTGTGTTATAGGTGTTACATCACGTATGTAACCTATGACTAATTTGTTACCGCTGCTTCTGGTAAAATGTCGTTCAGTAGAAGTCGTGACTCGTATAAATAAATTGAACATATTTGCAAATCAGTTGCCTAATAATTATGTGACGTCATACGTCACACTATTTGGGACATTCTTACTGGTTTTTTGATAGTGTCAAAGAAATTACACACACAGAAAACAAGTATAACAAATATATTAACACTATATTCAATGTTTAGTGAAGTTTTATTTTAGCGAGTCTTTTCGGAATCGTCATTGTTACGCTCGGGCGGTTTGGCATGCTTTAGTCTTAATTTTTTCTCTTGGTATATGTTTGTTATAAATATATCATGTTGAAATTATCATCTTAAAATTTATTTTCATTGTTTCAGATGCTGTACAAATATAGGACCCAAAAGGGCATTGCCCTACGCACTAACAAATAGCCCAGTTTTCCTCGACCCATCAGTACCACAATGCAGGACCTACCACGAAGTTACTGGCGATATTATCTGCCCAAATATGGTGCGAGGAATCGACCATCTCAGGGACCCACGACTCAACAAGGTGAATTTATTACAAATGTTGAAAATTCTGTTTCAGTGTCGTTTAAAGTTCGACGTACATTCAAGAGGAATGTACTCATAATAATGTCTGGGTTATTTTCATATTGTAACGGAGTTTTTCTTTAATCATCGCTAGGTCATTGACATCGCATGATGATTTTTGCGTGGAATGTCAACTCTTCCTTCACATCTGTATACTTCGACCCTTGACACAAACAAATTTATTTTCGTCATATGTTGTGTATTACAAGAAATTGAAAATATGCCAAATTTTTTAGTACGTAATGTTGTAAATAAACTCGTTTATTTTGCTGTCATAGGGTTGTCTTCTATTGTGAGTTGTATTGGTATTGCTTTTTTTAATTCATGGCGGATCGGAACATGGTGCAAGTCGTTGCGCAGAACAAAATTTTAAATGACTTACGCCTCTTGACGTGCAGTTATAACAGTTTTAACTGGTCAGTTAAACTGTTAGTGTGCAACGAACTGTAGACCTGCCAAGATATTTGTAAAGATGGATACCACCGCTAGGCAGTGGTTTACGCTGTCGTAACACTTGTATTTTGAACAATATTGCCCATATTTCCCTCATAACAACTGAAAACAAAAATCTAGCTTTAATTCTTTACTTTCTTGTGTCATTGTGTTCGTAAATCGTGTACTTAATGCACTGTCATGCGTCTCAACATTTAAAATAAGTAATAATATTCACGTGACTTGTAGTTAATCCTGATAAATATTATTAATTTTGACAAATTAACATAGTATTAGTTACGTCTTGAATTGCGCATGTTAATTATATAATATGACGAATGACATGTAATCATTTGATTTAATTTTACTGCAAAATTGTTATCAGTTGATAAGATATGACTACGATTTTCTCTGAACTTAGCTGATTTGGGTTGACTGATATTATTTTGGTATAATCTTATCATCGCACGTGGATTTTATTAATACTGGAATTTTTAATACAAAGGAAATTAAAGTTCATACTAAGGGCCTGTCCTACTGGCTGATAGGCTCAGATAGCTTAAAAATGACGTCACTGTCATAAGGGAATAAAATTCGATGTTTTACACGTTCGATTGTTATCAGACAATTTACAATTTAGTGGGACTAGCCCTAAATCTTTTAAAGGGACTCCTTAAGTTATCAATAATGTTTATGATTTTGGTAATAAACAAATCATTAAATGGTGAACTCCATTGTCCACCCGATTTTAGTGGTCCGCAATTCCTAATTAAATTGCAGTTAGTGAGAGCTTAATTCAGAAGCGAATTTATTTTTGATGATTCTGGATTGTTCTTTTACTTACTTTTAGTAATCGTGGTACATAAACGTCTAAAATCAGTTTATTATTGGCGGCTACATAGTCTCCGCATAGATATCTATCCGTCTACAAAAATCGTCTACATAAATGTATGACGCACCATGATAAATGTCTTAATATTTGTATAGCTCAAGTTCGTAACTATGCAGTATTTTTTATGGCTTGTTTTATATTATTTTTTATTTCAGGGTCTGGCATTTACACTAGAAGAGCGTCAAGCTCTCGGCATACACGGCTTATTGGCTGCCAAGTTTAAATCTCAAGAGGAACAACTGGACATCTGTAGGATATCGATAGACAGATATGAGGACAATTTGAATAAATACCTTTACCTCGTCGAGTTACAGGTGACTAAAAACAATAAAGGTACCATTGATGTGCAATAAGCCTTATGTTAATTTTATACGGTGACATTTGTACTATTTCTGCATGCAACTATGCGCGTCACAGCCATGTTATGCTTTAATAAAATATAGTCTTCATTACCTCTTATGTTTACTTCCAATTTACACAAAATAACCTTACCAATATGGCCGTCGTGTCGTCGAGCTAATGCAACACCCTTATTTTTGACATCCGACTACTATCCGATTATTAACATAACAAGCACAATTACGACATTTTAAAACCATGACATAAATATTTTAAATAATGTTTTGGATCACAATTACTATCGTTATTTCAAATTATGACACATGGTATTGATTTATAGCACAGACTAAATAACCTTCAAGAATACAGAATACATCAAAATAATTAAAAAGCTAACACAACCTTTGAGTTCAAGATTAAGTTTTTGTTTAAATCACACACCTTTGAGTAAACGGTTGTGCGATTGTCGATTGTTTCGCAGCCCATTCAACTGTTTAGCACAATTAAAAATCGATTATTGCGCTCCATATAAGCTCATAAGAATCAAAACGCGACTAAACAGTTGTACGATAGTTTAGTCAAAGGTGTGTGCGCTCTTAATAAAGTTTGAAGTCGCAAATATAGTCGACCATGATTAGCATCGATTAGAATGACCTTGGTTTTTTTATATGCACAGATAAGCGTCTGATTAGATTTACCTTTTGAGGAAATATAGACTTTTTCCTTGCATGATCTTATCCACTTTGAATTGAAGGATGGGAAATTATAGTAGACAATTGTAGAGGAAATTTTAACGATTGCTAGTGCTGTAGATATCTAGTATGTACGGTAGGAAACTAACTTTACAAGGTCAATTATACTAGCGATGCCTATTTTATTTTAGAGTATCCATTGCTTGAATGCTTAAATTACACTTAGATACACTTTATGCACAGTTGTATTTTTTTTAATACTTGTAGCCATTGTATAGTAGTAATTAAGTTTTAAAAATTTATTAGCATATTATTTTAATTTTACGACAGGCTGGCTGGTTAGGAATCTGTGTAGTTTTCCTCGTCGTTTGAATTAAATTTTATTACAATTAATAGACTTTTTAGACGATATAAATGTTACGACCGCATGTTTAAGTATTTGCAATTTCAATTCGCTTGATATTTTTATTTGACTTAAATAAAATACTATTTATTTTAATCTAAGTAGAACTCTTCTTGTATTAGAGCGCACACCTTTGACTAAACTATCGCACAACTGTTGTGCGATTATCGATTGTTTCGCAGGCAATTCAACTGTTTAGTTGCACAACTAATAATGAGTGCGCGCTTCATATAAGCTTATAGGAATTAAAATGAGACTAAACAGTTGTGCGACAGTTTAGTCGAAAGTGTGTACGCAATCTTAGTTTATTGACTTATAATATTGCTATCGTATTTACAGTGACAATGAATTATTGCAGGATAGAAATGAAAAGTTGTTCTTCAGACTTTTATCAGAGAATGTGGAGAAGTATTTGCCAATCGTTTACACGCCGACTGTGGGTCTAGCGTGTCAGAGGTTCGGTCTCATCTATAGAAGACCAAGAGGTCTCTTTATTACCATCAATGATAAGGGACATATATTTAACATATTGAAGAATTGGTAAGTGATTTTATGCTTATATATTCTTGTTATTTTAACTGCAACTAGAATAGTATGAATTGCAAAAAGCTATTTAATGCTTTTGCTTAAACAGAAATGTGGTATCTCGCAAATTATAGATTTAATAAGGGTTTTAGGTCCCAAACTTTGCTTCTTGCGCCTTCAAAGTCTTATTCAAGCATAAACATAAACTCTAAACCGGTTTGTATAATTGTATGCTTATGTAATCCACACTAATATGAAGACGAAAGATTTTTATTTTTGTATGTATATAAACAAGTCAAAAACTAATGGACTGATTTAAAAAAAATCTTTCACAATTAAGAAGCTACATTATTAGTGAGTAACGTAAGATATTTTTTTAATTTCGAGGGCGAAGTCGCGAGCAGTAGCTAGTCTTTAATACCTACAAATGCTGTAGTAGCAAGTTAGAGCAGCAATTGGTGTATTTGTAGGCCCGAGCCTGATGTAAGAGCGATAGTCTTCACCGACGGTGAACGGATCTTGGGTCTAGGTGATTTGGGCGCGTACGGTATGGGCATCCCGGTCGGCAAACTCTCCTTATACACCGCGCTTGCTGGGATCAAACCTCACCAATGTTTGCCGATCACGCTTGATGTGGGGACTGACAATCAGGTATGTTGTTAAAGACATACGTTTATGACAGTTATAACTGAACACGCGAGTGATCAATTAAATTTGCTTACACACGCAAATATTGGTGGTAGACTTCTCAGTTAAAACTGTCAGAACTGAGCGTTTATAGGCTTTACATTTACACCAAGACTCCTTTTATATCGTGTCTTGACAATGACAAGTTGACAGCTTTGTCGTGACCTTGAAACAATAAAAATCAAAATACATATAAACTGTCATATCAGAATGTATAGACTTGTCACTTTAGATGGTTACGTAAACAAACAAGTAAATAATTGCTGTTTTCCACGCCATTTTGCATTGAACGTTTTATGGCACATACATAAATACTTAAATCCCAAGGTGCGTTAGCATTTAAAGGTGAAATACACCTTAAGGTAAGGGAATATGATTGAGTTTCGTTGAACAGGATCTGTTGGAGGATCCCCTTTACATCGGGCTGCGACAGCGACGTACAAGAGGGAAGGAGTATGATGAGTTTATTGATGAGTTCATGGAGGCGTGCGTGCAGAGATATGGACAGAATACGCTGCTACAGGTGAGTTACGACACTCTATAATGCCCAGTTTCCTAAACACTTTTAACCATTCGTGTTTTTGGTTCGATAAATTCTTGAAACGCGACTCCGAACTACGTAACTTGAGAGTTTCTACTTTGAAATTTAGTTTAACATAACATTTATGAATCATCATAATAAAGTAAATGGAAACTTCAGCAACCCAGCATAAGGAGATCGGGTAACACCGTATACATTAGCGTCCTCATTCTTATTATCTATTCGACGGCTACTGATTTTCCTTCCTAAGTAAAAGTCTATATGTTTTCAAAGATTAAATGTATATTTATTGTTAAATTTCATATATTCTATAACGTCTCCTTTAATACACTTTTTCTCACATCACAATGTAGACTGATTTTACGAAATTACTTCACTTTATCTCATAATTAAAAAAAAATCAATATGTGATATTTAACGCCCGTCTCTTAATTTCGGCGTTTGGTTGTAATTAAATATATTCTTCTTTTACTTCTAAATGGGTTAAAATTTAAAGTTTTGAGTACTGTTAAATACAGGATGTGTTCTTTGCCTTTAATTTTAAATTGCTATAAAGATGGATTGCAATGATTTAACGTAGGCCGGGAAGTTTCTGGCAGGTGCCATTTGCAGTTACGCCTGTTAGCGATAATGGACGGAAAGATTCAATCTATAAAGGGGATAAAACTGGAACAAGTTTGGTTTTCACCGAAATTTATTATGAAACAAGCAATAAATGTAGTTTATCTGCCGCATTTAAATTTGTTAATTCCGCAGTGTAGTATTTATATTAAATCTACACTAAGCGACGCCTTTATCGACCATTTAACAGCGATGAGTTCGGCGTTACATTCTGAAATAAAATCATCTCTTAATACTTGATAGCAAAAAATACCGAATATTATGTCTATAGTTTTTGCCCGCAACTCCGTCTGTGTCTTATTAAAAAAAAAAACAAAAGTAAAATTTCATCCAGATCCGTTCAACAGTTCATGCTACAAAGTAACATCCATTCATCTTAACTTTCGCAATTATATGTTTTTTTTTTTAATTTTCATTTTTCCAGTTCGAAGATTTCGCGTTAATAAACGCGGGTCGTCTACTCCAGAAGTATAGGAACAAGTACTGCACGTTCAATGACGACATCCAAGGTACAGCGAGCGTGGCGGTGGCCGGCCTCATGGCCGCAGTCAGGGTCACCAAGAGGAAACTCAGCGAGAACATCTACCTCTTCCTGGGAGCGGGTTCCGTAAGTTTAAATGTTTCCTTTGATAATTGTAATTTGTTAGCTTTTGTTGCTAGAAAGAGATGGATGAATTGCGTGAAAGGTGACATGATCAAAAAGGGAGTGATGACAGATGACGTATGATAGAGTTATGTGGAGGACAAAAACTTGTTAAGACTTGGACTTGGAAGTAGGATAAGGAGGAAGATGATGTTGTCTATTTGTTGCAAATGAACGATTAGTCTCAAGATATGCAAAAATAAGGGATTTTACAGATGATGATGATGATGATGATTTTATGTACCATGAAAATGTGAATAATACTACCTTATACACAAACGAATAAACCAAAAATCTATATCTATACTTCTATACTATTATAATAAAGCGTAAACACACACTTCTTTGTTTCCTAAGATGTCAGCAATTACAGCATATTTTTGAATAATCCTTTTTTTAATTGAAAGTCCTACACTTACGTCAAGCTTTAGGCTATATATTATCACGCCATTAAACTTAGGGGGTAAACAAAAATATTTTGGATAAATCCCTAATATGGGAAAGAGACCATAAGTTAAAGATACCAAAAGTTGCTGCCAACATCAAGGAAGCAAGGTTGTCATCATGTCATGTCATTTTGACATTTGCAATTGATAATTTGACAAATGTAAACGATAAAATAAAGTTTTTATAATTACCTGCGGATGAAGCCGCATGGGAACAGCTAGTAAGATATAAATTAAATTGTGTCACTTTAAGGTATAGAATAGACATTTCCAAACTTTTTTTTCATAAACAATTGCTACATTTCATCAACTTCGAATCCTTATAAATTCTTCGCGATGTATGTACAATCGCGGAAATCTGCGGTGTTCTACTTCAGGAAAATTGCCTTGCATTGCAACGAGACAAACTCCGTCACTTCCTACAAGTAACTAATTAGATAACAGTGAGTTATGCTTATAAAGGAATAATAATAAAAAAGTTTGCAGTGTATCATTAACTAACTTTTTTCGTACAGACACATTTATAAGCGTTGTATTGGTTTTTTTCCGCGTCTCGTTACAAAACATTTAAAATATTGTAGCTTTTAAGGTGAAACACCGCCAGTTTTGCACTAATCGTTTTCGTAAAGACACATTTATAAGCTACGTTTTATTTATTTTTGTGAGATATCAAACTCATTTATGAACGCATCTTTACTATGTATCTGTCTCGCTCTTTCTTTGACTTCTCTCTTGCTCTTTGGATCTGTACTACATTAAGCGTGCTAATAAATAATCCTTATTAATTATTTGGTTTAATTCACATATAAAAGTGGCGACGAGGATTTTCGTGGTTCCTCGTCTCGTTGAATATGTTTAAAATATTGTAGCTTTTAAGGAATACCACCATTTTTCCCGATTGTACCTTAGTAGTGATGTAGATGTAATTCTTAGGCGTCAAACGGCATCGCTAACCTGACGGTGGCTGCTATGATGTCTGAGGGTCTGACGGAGCGCCAGGCTCGTGAGCGAGTGTATATGTTTGACGTTGACGGGTTACTGTCGACGCGACGCGAGGGCGGAGTCCCCGAACATGCGAAAGCTTTCGGCAAAGATATTGAACCAGAGAAGGACTTTGAGACGTGTGTGGCGAAGATTAAACCCAGCTGTCTTATTGGTATGTAATAAGTCAATCTTACTCAATATTATAAAAGCGAAAGTTTAGATGGATGTTTGTTAGAGTTTGTAGTCTAAATGGCTGAACGGATTACAATGAAATTGGGCATAGACAATAGTCTGGAAGAACACATAGGCTACTCACTTTCGTTTTTTTTAATTCCACGCGGACGGAGCCGCGGGCGAAAGCTAGTAAGTAATAAGTGGAAAGTTTAATACAATTAAAACAGGTATAAATAAATCGATTTATATGATAATGGGTGGAAAAGACAGTTAAACAATTATCCTGATCTCGGTGTGCTTCAGTTACATTTTTATATTATTTGTAACAATTCCAAAGATTAGTGTTCACTCATATATTATTGTTTAAGCTATACAGAATGATTCTTACGGACGGATCATGAGATTTTAGGAGGTAGTCCTCTAAAAATTAAATAACTTTTAAACTACAGAAAATCAGTCACCGTAGCTTGCCATTAAACAATAGCTATTAAGATCCTCTAACTCCATAAAGCTTGTGATCAGTCTGTTAAGAAACACCCTGTATGTGGGTTCAGCGAGATAGATGTTGTCTATAGTGTTAATAAAATAAATATGTTTAGTTGATATATTGTTGGCAGTCGTCGTTTTATTGAATAATTAATTATGAAGGTAATTTCAATATTTTATTGATGACAAAAATGACCTTGGGACTAATTGACCAGTTTATTTGCTACTGTTTCCATGTTGTTTATTGGGATATTATATGATATTGAGACTGATTGATGTTTCAATACAATCTTAAATTTATTTCTTTACATTACATGTGATCTTTTAAAACCTATAGTTTTGTTCCTGCGATTCCGTCCGCCTGGAGTAAAAAAGTAACTACTTGGTTTGTAGCATGTGTGTTCTTCTATATTCTTAACCAGACTACATCCATCCATTTATTATCTATACTAATATTATAAAGAAAAAAGTTTATTTTAGTATGTATTGAAGTAACTTAAAAACTACTATACCGATTTTAAAAAATCTTTCACCAATAAAAAGCTATGTTGTCAATGATAACATGGGGTACTTATTTATTATTTTTAGAATTTCACGCAGGTGAAGTCGCGGGCAACTTCTAGTGTAGAGTAAAATTGTACTTCACATAATATTACATTGCAGGTTGTTCGACTGTGGGCGGCGCGTTCACCCCGAAGGTGCTGCAGCAGATGGCGCGCAACATCGAGCGGCCGGTGATCTTCGCGCTCTCCAACCCCACCAGCAAGGCGGAGTGCACCGCACAGGATGCTTACGATCACACTGAGGTTAGAACCACAGTAACTAAGTCTAATAAAAGACTAGCTTTCACACACGGCTCCGTTGCGTGGAATTAAAAAAAAGTAAGTAACCTATGTGGTCTTCCAGACTATCCTTTATACCTTTGCCAAATCTCATCTTTCGTTCAGAGGTTAAGGACTTACAAGACGCTTTCGGCTATGTATTTTACGCGATTAAAATTAGGGGTAAATAAATTGGAAAAAAACCTTAAAAGAGGGCTCTACCAATTTTAAATGATAGATAAGATTAATTTATGTCCAGGGTCGTTGCATCTTCGCGTCGGGGTCTCCGTTCCCGGCGGTGCAGTACGGCGGCAAGGAGTACCACACGGGGCAGGGGAACAACTCCTACATCTTCCCCGGCATCGCGCTCGGCGTCATCGCCACCGCCACCCACCACATACCAGAGACTATGTTCTTGACTGCAGCGAGGGTAATTTTACATCTCTAACCAACTTATTTATTTTAAACAATTTTTAATGTGAGAAAAAATTCAATTAAATGAGAAATGTTTCAATTATATGACTAAAAATTCAATTTAATGTTAAATGTTTCTATTAAATGACGAATTATTGAATTGAAATGTTTTAGTCTGAGGTTCAGTTTTAAATTTAATGAAATTAATAAATAATGTAATTAAATGATGATTTACTTTTTTATATATTAGAATCTTTTTCGAAATCGTTTGCTTTTATGTTTTCAGACACTGGCTAATTATGTAAGCGAAGCTGATCTGTCCATTGGCCGTATCTATCCCTCGCTGGCCGAGGTGAAGGATGTTTCTCTCTCCATCGCGATAGAGGTCGCTAAGATGGCTTATGATGAGGGTATGTATATATCTTTAAATATTTTATAAAAAAAATATCTACACATTATACTTATAGGAATATAACAGTGAACTATTGAGTTAAACAAGAACGAAAAAGGAAATGTTTGCAAATTATATTTATCGCTGTTTATTTAACAGCGTTTTTTTATTTCTTATAAATTAGTTAGCCGGTAGTTTTGCCGGTTCTTTTTGTATGTTTTATTATATTTATTTTTCATTATGCGCAGGTTTACAATGAGTTAACAATATAATCAATATTGGAAAAAATCACTGGTTTGTTCCAATTTTATTTTAGTTTTTTCTTAACACTGAAATGTAGTACATTGTAATAATGAATGGTCCAAACACCCGAAAATTAATAAATTTTCTTCAGGGAAATATTTATTTTTAATGTTTTCAATTCAAACGAATCTTTGAAATAAAGTAAATGATGTAGAGTTAACAGTAAATATTTTTTGATAGTAAATATGGTTTATTACTTTATCGTTTGCTTATCTCTTTAGAACTACTTAAAAGTTGAATTTTAACGTTAGCACAAACCATTAATACTTTATGTATTGTGTAATTAACTTTAGTATTATTAGATAGCGTAAGTGTGTATTTTGTAGCATATTCAATAACGTTTGAAAGAAATAAAAGAGGAATTGTTTATGTTTTCAGGTCTCGCCTCAGTATATCCAGAGCCGAAAGATATATCGAAACATGTGGAAAACCAGATGTACAACTATAACTATGAAAGTTCTATGCCGGTGGTGTGGGGCTGGAAACCCGAGGAGAAATTCAACGTGCGACCGATACAGCCCGTACCTAAAAATATTTAAACTTAAAATGACATTTAAATTATTACACCACTACTTAATCAGTGTTGCCATAAAATTGAAAAATAATCCTAACCAACAATTTATTTTTAATTTTTACAATTTGACCAACTATAACTTTAATGAAATCTATTAAAATGAAATATTTCCGTAGTCCAATATCATAATAATTTTAATGTTTTCATTTTCAAGATCTGCATACTCTGGAGTCAGTCGAAACAATTTTAATTAAACGCGTTTATTTTTGACCTATTTTTATGTGCAATAATGTTGACATACAAAACCTTTGGCAATGTAATTATTAGAGAGGGTTTAAGCAATTTTCAAATCAATAGATTTCCTTTTCTACGTGTCAGTTAAATAAAAAAGGTTTAACGGGCAATAGGTTCGATACGCCAAATTACTAAATAGTGTTCAAATAATGTCCATTTTATACATTTTACTACTATAAAATACGATATAACATAGAAAATATCAACGCTACAATAAAATAGATACTTTGTTTATCTCATATATCATAATTATAATGAAAAAATAAATACAAATCATTCTACATACCTCGGTATTTAAAATTTAAATATATAAAAATGTTGAATGTAGTGCTTAGTATTCACTTATGTCTGTGTGTTCATAGTGGGTAGTGTTTCACAAATTTTTAAATAATTAGAATAATCGTGACAAAATATTAACCAGTGGCCTTTTCAGCAATACAAAATGTTTTTTTTTCATTCTGTTTTAAGGAATGTTGTGCTTTGTCTAACAATCGTTTTGTTGATTTTGTATTTATTGTGTGTTTATTTTTTTTTCCTATTTGTAAAGAAAGGTTGTAATATTATTTAACTAATGCTAATGATGAAAACCGTGAATTTTAGTATTTATATATCACTTTCACTTTTCAACAAAATTTTAATGGTATTAATTGAAATTTTGTTGAAAAGTTTTTTTTGCAATTTGGCGTTGTATTATTAACATGAAAATAAGATCACATTATGTAAGTTTTTTTAACAGATACAATTATTCCAACTTATAGACAAAATCAGTAATCGCCTTAATTTTTTTTTAACTTCAATTTTATATGTATTCATGTAAAATCATTATCTAGTCACCGCAGCATTAATTACATCTGAACTATATGTATTATTTTTGTATTACAAGATAAGTATTAAATACACCATAAAATGTGGTTAAATAAAGACATTTAGACATTTATTTAAGAGCGCAAATAGAATAATTTTCGATTTATCGTTAAAATTAAGTAACAACCGAATCCAATATGCTTTTATTATTAATATCGTTAAATGCAACGTTACCTTATGATTGAAAAAAATGAAGTCATAAAGAAAGAAAGAGAGAGTTTGTATAAAACAAATATCTGTATATTTGAGAGTTTAACATTTTACAATTTTATCTCGTTTTCTTAAATTTATATGCGTCAAACGAATCAGTGTTTTTATTGCTATTTCAATGTCGAATGTCCAAGTGATTTATTATAGAATTAATTTACTGTACTTATTTTTTTCATGATTGTTTACAATTTTCTTTCAGATGCATGCTTTTAAAATCAGAGTTATTATTTAAAATTGGCCACTGATGCTTTATTATATGGATAAATAATTATAATATCTTGTATTGCATTGATTTAAATAAAATGCATTTATCGAGTATCGATTTGTGTTATGTACATTTTGTGATGACAATTGATCTAATATCGATGCACTATCGATTTAAAACTATCGTTTTCGATTGGAAAGTTGTGTTTCAATTTCAGTATTCTTTATTGATAGATAGAGAAATTATTTTCGCTGAGCGGAAAGGTTATACTTTGAGTATTTTATGACTATAATTTATGTAACATTAGACATGTATCTATTGATACAAAGTGATTTAAGTTGCTGTGACGATGTTAGGTGGTGTCCCTAGTTGTATTATAAAATTTCCCCACTTGAGTTGTTTTTTCCTAAATATTTGGGAAATTTCGACATTATTTATTTTATCTTTGTACCACCAATAATCTGGAGACACCAATTTTAGGTATTATTATGTGTTGAAATGTAAAAAAGCTGTTCAATTTCTGTTTGTGCGTTTAATTTTGTGTACGTCTATACACAATGTGTTGAAATTTTCATACACGCTGTCAATTTGCTTTGATTTCATTAACACTGTCTGTTTTAGTTTAATATTAAGCGATTTTCTTACAGGTCAATTAATGTGCTATAATTTGGATTTTTTATTCTATGAGTTCGTTCTGCCGTAAGTTATTGTGTATGATCTGTAGAATAAATCGTTGGCTACAATTGATGTTACTAATTAAATATGTTCAAAATATTGTGCCTTTTATTTGCAACAAACCTTTTTTAAAGTGGGGAACCGCGCCCTCTCTACCTATAAGAGGGAGCTTACCAACTAAAACCCCACTGTGCTTTTATTTGTAAGGCTCTTAATATAAGATTGAAACTTAATTCGCTTTGTTCCACTCCTCGCCTAACTGACTCGCATCACGATCTCCGCTTTCCCTCGTCAAATCCTTCATCATCTGACTAAGAAGTCAGTTCTGGAAAGACTTCAACGATTTAAAGTATAGAGTAATAAGTGAGTATTAAAACTAATAACTGACGCGTTTAATTTAAAACAAAACGCAGCTAACCTATCCTTTTGTAGAGATCAGTGGTACAATAAATCTCAATTACAGCCTCATTCGTCATTAAAAATATAAGTCAGTTTTATTCTTTTTTGTGCATACTCTACGTTAAAAAATGACAGTTTTTTTTTTACTTCTGTGTAACAGATTTTTTGTTATGTTTTTGATTAAATGGATTTTATTAGTAACAGAATGATATCTTTCGTTCCAGAAATACCGTAAGAACATTCATTTGTGGTCTTTTATTAACTTACTAAATAGTCAATTGCTTTTAATTTTTTTAGGTATACATTTAAAGTGCTGAAACGAATATTCTACATGCTATATCATCCTAGAAGATGTTTATTGGCAAAGCCTAGATATATTCAACTTCGTGAAATAAATACGGTTTGCGGTGATATAATTTCTTTGAATCTGACAAGAGGTATAGACCATTTAATTGATACGCGGATCAACAAAGTATGTGTATAAATATTTAATCTTCTATTTTCAATTCAATTTATTTCTGTATAGCAGTATATTTATTAATATCTTTATATCTATTCGAAGTATGCTTTGACTTCCGCTGTTAGGATATAGTAACTCGAATGGATAAATTTGTACTTTCCTTGTATTTCATAGGGCGTAGCATTTACTTTAGGTGAACGTCAAGCGCTAGGTATAATGGGATTATTACCAGCCGTGGTGAAGACTCAAGACGAACAAGTGGAAAATTGCCGGCTATCCCTCGATAATTATCATCACAGTTTGAACAAATACATCTATCTGGTCGAGTTACAGGTTTATATTTAATTCTTACCTTTCAGTAGATGTTTAAAGAATGTTCTGTAGGTATTTTAAGAGCGTATCTCTTAAATGACTATATATTTATGGCCAATCCCACCAAATTGTAAGTTGTCTGATAACAATCCAACGTGTAAAATATGTGATCGAAATATCGGATTTTGTTACCTTATCTGACGTCATTTATAAGTCATCTGAGTCTATCAGGCAGTGGTGGTCCAGGCCCTTAGTCTTAATGATGTGATGATTTACAAATTTTGACTTTCTGGACATGTCTTTTATTCGATTTATTTACTTTCTTCATCGATGATTATTATTAAACAGGAAGGGACAAAACATCGTTCACAATTGTAATAACTCGTAATTTACTGAAAAAACACAAAGTACTAGTTCATGTTTGTTTTTATGTTTTTAGTTTATGTTTCATAGTTTTGGTTTTGCAGGATAGAAATGAAAAGTTGTATTTCCGACTTTTGTCGGAAAACGTAGAGAAATATATGCCTATAGTATACACACCTACTGTTGGCTTGGCCTGTCAAAGGTTCGGATTGCTGTTTAGACGTCCGAGAGGACTTTTTATAACTATTCACGATAAAGGACATATACTTGAAATCTTAAATAACTGGTGAGTATGCATATAGTATTTGACTTGACTATTCTTCTATCAACTCACAGCCAAAATTATTGGATCACGTGGATTTTTGTTGCGCTCGCGTAATGCGAGAACTAATAATTTACAAACTTCTAACACTAAACGTCTAACACAAGTTTTCAAAGATTGTATAGAACAGTGTTATTCCTTTTGAAGAATCAATTAAGATAAATTTTCAGCACAATTTAGTTTAAACAAATCCCCTCATGTGTCTCCATCCTCATGAGAAGGGCACGCCCTCTTGTCTTTATCCTACTGTCATAGGGTTGGCGAATCAGTTTTTCGTCCTTCAGGTTAATATTAATTCCGTCATCTCAGTCTTTATCCCTTCTTGATCATGACATTTTTCACGCGATTCATCTATTTCAAAACGTCCCCTCTAGTATAGTAAATTTGGGATGTCAGGCAGAAGACTAGGCTTGTTTCCGAACTGTCAGAGTCAAGTGTCAGTT